AAAAAAAAAAAAAAAAAAAAAAAAAGAGTTAGACAATATACTACAGTCAGTCAGGTCCTATGCTAAACATCTGTTATCCCATTTCATCCTTCCAGTCACCCTGCCAAATCGCAATCATTCTCCTCATCCTACAGATGAGAAAACTAAGGTTCAAAGGGTTGAAATAACTCAGGTAGCCAGAATCAGGTTCAAGATTCAATACCAGACTGGTCTTTTGTCCTCTTCACTAGATGATACTACCTCCCACGAGGGTCTATGTGCTAAAGAAGACTATGTAACAGATCTAAGGAAAAGAGGATTTTGAAGACTCCATATCTTTTTTTTTTTTTTTTTGAGACGGAGTTTCACTCATGTTACCCAGGCTGGAGTGCAATGGCGCGATCTCGGCTCACCGTAACCTCCGCCCCCTGGGTTCAGGCAATTCTCCTGCCTCAGCCTCCTGAGTAGCTGGGATTACAGGCACGCGCCACCATGCCCAGCTAATGTTTTGTATTTTTAGTAGAGACGGGGTTTCACCATGTTGACCAGGATGGTCTCGATCTCTTGACCTCGTGATCCACCCGCCTCGGCCTCCCAAAGTGCTGGGATTACAGGCTTGAGCCACCGCGCCCGGCGAAGACTCCATATCTTAACAAACTTCCATCACACTATACTCCATTCATCCAAACAAGCTTAGAGGATTTGGCAAACTCCTTAGGATAACTGTATCTACCCATTCGATCTCCTTTGATTACAGCTGACAGAAAACCCACTTAAAGAGGATTAATGTGCCAAATAACAAAAAATTCCAGAGGTAGCTTAAAGGTGGTTTCATTAAGGGCTCAAATGAGGTCCCCAGGACTCTTTCACTATTTCTTATCTATCTCTCCCCCATGTTAACTCAGTTATTTGGCAGACCCTCACCTTAGGAGGCAAAATGGCAGAGGCAGCTTCTGAAGAGCACAAGTCTCCTTCACAGAAGTCCCTAGCGAAAATCTGTCTTTCATGAAGCTGACGAGGGTGTGTGCCCTTCCCTGGACCTATTGCTGTGCCCAGAGATGAGATACCTCACTGGCCAGCCTGAGTCAATGACATCTTTGAGGAAGAGTAGTAAACACCAATAAAATCACACAGATTGAAAAGGGGAAGCAGTGGTTTCCACAAGCACAATCAAGATTCTACAACAATATCAAAGTAAATGGATACTGGTTAAAGAAGCAAATGCCCACAACACTAACTGTGAGATATGCTAGGAACTTCTCATTATCAACAACAGTATCCCTTTCATAATCTGTATTTCAAGCAACCATTCTGAGCACCATCTCCTAAATTCCTAGCTCTCTCCTTAGTACTTTGGCTCCCCACAATTCTTCTAACCCTTCAATTTGCTGACTCTAATTAACATCTTCTCACTGTCCCCCATCTGCTATGTCCCCGTTTCTCTCTTTAATGAAACTAAATTTCATGGTTTATCATTATAATCATTCCCTTGCCCCTATCTATCTTCCTCCATCATACTGGCCTGGCAAAACCTTAATCCTGATTAAAGCCAATCGCTACTTCTCTTTCTTAATTTATAATTTATCAATGATTTTATTTTATTGTGTTCTTCTTCTCTGCCACTGCTGCATCTGAGCAGCTGAAGGAAAGCTCACAATCATGCTAGCTGGTCTCACATTAAATACATGACTACAGACATCAAGTAAGCCCTTAGTGACACCTGGCAAGTTAACTACATCTCCCTAGTCAATTTAGTCCCTCATTCCTGAGTATTCAATTATTCCTTTTCATTTCTCAAACCTACAACACCTCTTCCTTCCTCCTCCCTCTGTGTTGCCCTGACTTCCTCTTCTACCGAGAAAAAGCAAACCATCAAATCTAAACTACATCTACCACCTAGCCACAACTGGATCCTTTTACTTGCTTTACCCTCCTAAAACAATGGATAAACTATGGCCAATCCCTCCACTTGTGCACTGAATTTCTTTCCCTGTTATGTAACCAAGGACAACTTTCCTTCAAGTACACCCTTTCTTTCCTCTATTGCCTTCTCTGCTTAATCGTTCCCATCAGCACAATAATAATAATAATAAAAGCTACGACAGAGTGCTTACTAAATGTAGCGGGAGATTTCTATAATGGTTCCCAATGATCCCCACCTGCTGTCAACCCCAACCACATACTGGTGTAATATCCTTTCCTTCAGAGTGAACAGTATCTGTGATTCAGGGCAGAAGTGCTGGGGCTTCACGTCTCTGATTAAGTTATGTAAGATTATGACTTCTGTCTTTTTTTTTTTTTTTTTCTGAGACGGAGTTTCACTGTTGTTGCCCAGACTGGAGTGCAATGGCACGATCTCGGCTCACCGCAACCTCCGCCTCCTGGGTTCAAGCAATTCTCCAGCCTCAGCCTCCCGAGTAGCTGGGACTATAGGCACACACCATCATGCCCAGCTAATTTTTGTATTTTTAGTAGAGACGAGGTTTCACCTTGTTGACCAGGATGGTCTCGATCTCTTGACCTCGTGATCCACCCGCCTCAGCCTCCCAAAGTGCTGGGATTATAGGCGTGAGCCACTGCGCCCGGCCATGACTTCTGTCTTACTTCTCTCACTGTTTTCTGTTTGCAAACTCTGATTTAGAAATCTGTCATACTGAAGAGACCCATGTGGGGAAAAAAAAAAAAAAAAAGGCCAAGCATGGTGGCTCATGCCTATAATCCCAGCACTTCGGGAGGCCAAGGCGGGCAGATCTCAAGGTCAGGAGTTGGAGATCAGCCTGGCCAACATGGTGAAACCCTGTCTCTACTAAAAATACAAAAAGTAGCCACGTGTAGTGGCGCACAACTGTAATCCCAGCTACTCGGGAAGCTGAGGCAGGAGAATCACTTGAAACCAGAAGGCAGAGGTTGCAGTGAGCCGAGTTTGAACGACCG